ACTCTGCACTTTCTGTGCAGATTTTGATACTGGCTCGGGTTGATCGAGATTTTGCTATTGGTCTGCTCTCCGGAGACTCAAGGTAGATCTGTCGGTGTTCACAGACCTTGAAGTCCCCGTCTATCTTTTCTGTTCTACTGTTTCTTTCATTGAGACAGTCGTATTTCTTTTAGACTATTACTTGTAGTAAATTCTAGAATGCTCGTGAATTGTGACTCCAGATCCGGGTGGCAGTAATTAATACAGTTTTATGATATTCCGCACTTATTATATTTCATCTTAGTTAATTATTGTTATTTACTGAATGAAAATAAGGAATTGGTTTAACGATTTTCTAACATTGGCTTGCCTAGCAAGTGAAATGTTAGGCGCCATCACGATCCCATCAGTGGTAAATTTCGGGTCATGACAATAACACATGTTAAGAAGCCAAAACTATTTTATTGAAGAAGTATTCCTCTTTCAACGAATCCTGTTTGTTTATAATTTCCTGTTACTTTCTGTTCTCTTATGTACTTATAAACACAAACGAATCATTCGTACATTATTTTTAGACTATATGTTTTCTGTGCTCAGCTTGTTAGAAGAAGGGGGCACGATGTTCACCTTCGAAGGATAAAAGCTCTCTTAAAGTTTCTCTTAGAGTTCATAGTCCGCGGTTTTACTGGAAGGTAATTGAAGTTCTTTGTTTTTTTCCTCTCGTACAATTCCTCAAGCCAATAAAAAGAAAATTTCAAAGAATTCTACAATATGGATAAATTTTTTAACATATAATAATCTCTTACAGGTTGCAACTCAAGGTGACTTAGGCCTTGCCGATGCTTTTATTCAAGGGGATTTTTCTTTTGTTGATAAGAATGAAGGTCTTCTTAATCTTTTCATGGTGAGGAAATGACTCTATTTCTTTGTAAATAGCTATTTGTTGGTACTTGGCATCCTGAATTCTTTTACAGATTTTCGTTAACAACAGAGATTTGAAAGCATTAGTGACAAGGTCTAGTAAGAAAAGGTAAGTAGTTTATAGAAACTGAAATCAGGAAATTGCAAC